TGTATAGCTACCACAATACCATTGGTATTTCGAATGTTGCCGAAAATAAATTCTTATCAAGTGACACAAGTGCTGGTGTGTAAGATTTAATGAAATGTCAGTGAACACATGTTGAAAATTGTATGATTTTATTTAAGTATGGATGCCTCGTAGGATTGGTGTGTGTTGTCGTTAGGGGTGTGTGAAATAACGTAGTTTGAGTGTAGTTTGGTTTCTATTGTTCTAGTTGTTGTTGAGAGCTGAAATATAGGATTGTAAATTATGGGATTTGTGTCTTGGTTTTATGATTAACATAGTTGTATTGTTTCAGATTATTGCTTTCGTTGAATGTTTGGTTGGAGAGTCGATCGAGATTATTGTTTTGATTTTGTTGTGTATGGATCGTATGTGTTGAGTTGGACAAACATGGATGCATCTGAAATAAACACAAATGATTGAGGAAAGAGGAAAATGGAAGTGGATAGACCATCGCAGTGTTTGGTGATGTATATTCGTAAGAGAAATGTGTAATATAAGAACACAAAATAGTTTCATAAGGATTTATATGTAATAGTAGGTATTCATGAATAAATCAATGATAATAACAAGTTTAAGGCGAGTGTGGGTGTGGGATGTGAATGGTTTAGTAAGTAAAAATCAATCAATAGGTGGTAACACACATGAATGGGAATGAAAAAATAAAATTAGGTTACAGATTTACATGCATTTTGTTTTTGAGAAGTATGAAATACTTACAACATTTGCTGGATTGTTGATGCTAGGCCGAATTAGTTATTGTTTGTACGGATTGTATTGTTATGTATATATCTAGAATACAAAGTGTGATTGAAATAGTTGTAAATTGGAAATCAATAATTATAAAAGAAAGGAAAGGGTGTGGATGTGGGTGGTGTGGGTGTGGGGTGTGGGTGTGGGATGTGGGTGTGGGTGTGGGATGTGGGTGTGGGTGTGGGTGTGAATGACGAAGAGATACACCTACACCCACATCCACATCCCACCCACACCCACACCCACATCCACATCCCACCCACACCCACACCCACATCCACATCCCACCCACACCCACACCCACATCCACATCC